CTTGATAATTCTAAGGTTTATTATCCCTCTTATTCTTTTGACCCTTATTCCGAAGTCCTATTTAGATTGAGGTCCCTATATTTTTTCTTATAAATGTTCTTGCAAAGTAAAAATAACCTTACATCAGTTTCATTGGGATACCCTACTACTAAATCAAAATTTCTTTATTCATTTAATCTCTATAAAACCACATTGCTACAGATTAATCTTTATGTAAGTTGATGCAAGGTTTCACATCAGATAGCTCACATCAGAGTCAAGGATTTTGATATACAGTTTCAATAAAAAGAGAAATCTTAATGCATAAGTCAATGGTCAGTATAAAATGTAATACAATGGTACCAGACAAAAAAAAATTAGAATATCTAAGCTCTATTCACAATTATTTTAACTGTGCTAACTTGGGAAAGTCATTTAACCCATTTGCAAAATGAAAGGATTGCACTTGATTACCTCTGTTGTACACAAAAGACCCAAAATTTATTTTCTGTGTTCAAAGGTCCCTTCCAGGTCAGACTATCCATTATATTTCTGGAGAACATTAAATTGATCCTATGTGAAATTTTCTAACCCCAGATTTTATTACTTTTCATAGATACTATAATAGAATGGCTAAAAACAAATCATAAAATGTTAGAGTGGCAAGTAACTGGGATTCCATTTTTTTTAAAAGAGATAGAATAAGATAAGAGAATATCTGGGTTCTATTTTTTACTCCACAACTGACTATGTACTTATAAATGAATCACTTTCTCTCTTATGCTTTCATTTTCTGTTCTGCAAATTTTAAATTACATTGATTTCTACTTGTTGAGCTCTGATGATGTACCAGGTCTAGCATTTTAGATTCCATTTTGTAATGTCTCTACCAGCCCTAAAATCTCATTGCTTGTGATTATTTGTCTTAAAGAGCTCTACTGGCTGTTACATTATTTTTGGATGAAAAAGCATTTCTGTGATAACATTAACAGAAAGATGGTTTCAATTCTATTGCCCTTTTCATAGCATCCTTGACCTCCTTATTTCTTAGGCTATAAATTAATGGGTTCAACATTGGGATTACCGTGGTGTAAAACACAGAAACCACTTTTTCTTGTTCTAGGGAATATTGGGAGCTTGGCTGAATGTAGCTAAAGCTTATGGAGCCATAGAACAAAGTCACAGCTGTCAGGTGGGAAGCACAGGTGGAGAAGGCTTTATATCGCCCAGCTGCGGAGTGGATCCTGAGTATGGCAATAACAATGAAGATATAAGAGATGATTACAGTCAAGAAGGTGATCATGGCAATTACTCCTGAGAATATCAGGAGCAATAATTCATTTCTGGAAGTGTCAGAGCAGGAGAGCTTCAGCAGTGGGGGCAAATCACAGAAGAAATGGCTAATGATATTTGGCCCGCAGAAGGATAACCTGACTAAGCCAATTGTGTGTGTGAGTGAATTAATCATTCCCCCTATACATGATCCAAAGACCAGCATGGTACACACTCTCTTAGTCATGACCGCCATGTAAAGCAGTGGATTAGCGATCGCCACATATCGATCATATGCCATTACTGCTAGGAAAAATCCCTCAGTGGTAAGAAGGACCACAAATAAAAAATATTGTAGTACACAAGCAGCGAATGATATGGTTGCCTTCTCCTCAAAGAAATTCACAAGCATTTTTGGTCCAAATACAGAACAGTAGCAAGCATCAACAAACGAGAGACAACTGAGGAAAAAGTACATGGGAGTGTGAAGCTTGGGAGTGATTTGAATTAACACAATCATGCCAAGATTCCCCACTAAAGAAATAACATATATCACCAAGAAAAGCATAAAGAGAAACACTTTCAATTCTGTACGATCTGTCAGTCCTAAAAGGAGGAACTCTGTGACCACTGTGGAATTTTTCTTGCCCATTCACTTGGTTTCTCATGACAATGACTGTGGGGAAGGAAAAAAAAAAGAACACAATTAATTAGAAAAATGTCAGCAAAGACACCAAGACTAATTATGACTCCTCAACATAGAGCCGTTATATAAAATACGTTTTTGCACCGAAAAATTGTGTAGGCTCTAGACCAAGAAAGTATCTTAGATCTTAGTATCATGAATGCAGATATGGAAGAGATCTAAGGAGCCATCTAGTCCTCACTTTTTTTCACAGAAGAAACTGATGTCTGGTGAGGTAGAGTAACTTAGGTTCAAAAATACAGTGGATGTCTATTCCCTATGTCCTCTCATTTTAGAGACAATTATATTTCTACTGTATCTTTATTTCCATGATCTCTCCC